CCAGGCAAGGAGATCAAGCGCCTGAAGCCCAGGAGAGCCACCTCCTTCTTCACCCGCCAGGCGCCGGCCAGCCAGCCCTCCTACAGCGCGGTGCAGGCGGCGGAGAGCCTGGAGCAGGGCTGACCGCCAGCAAACCCCCCCCTTCCCCCTTGCTGCTGGGCGCAGCGCCCCCTGCTGTTCCGGAGACCAAACTGCGGCGCTGACTGAGAGGACAATGAACTAACCCACATAGAAACACAGAGGGGGGGGGAGAGAGAGTGTGGACTGACCGGGTAGAAGCGTTGACACTGGGACCAAAAGGGTTTTGGAGAGGGAACCATGACCCACGTCGTCCGTACACTGCAGTGGGCCCGTAACTGGGGCAGAACCGGCTCTTACCCGCGTGCCTGTGAACGCACGGGACGCCCTGAGACAGGAGGGGTCTTTAAAGCTGCCCTTAAGCTGAAGGAAGCTCGTGTATAACCTCGGGCTCGCTGTTGGGATTTGTATCTTGAGCGTTGCTCCTAATTTGTTTGTAGTCGGCGGGGGGTTACTGTTGTTTTTTTTTCTTCTTTACATTTTCTGATTGTTTTTGAGGTGTTTTTTTGGGGGGGGCCTGAGCTGGGTGGCATGGTCTCCTCCTGGCCAGAGTTAAGTGCCTTCGCCTCCCACGCTCTCTTAATCGATGAGTTCATTCATGAGCTCGTCGGGGGGTGTTTAAAGTGTTCCCTTGTTTCTTCAAGGTTAAGGGCATCTTTGAAACCCCCTCCCCCCCCGTTCCGTCTCTCAGCCTCCTGGGACCAGCGGGCTGGGACGTTCCTCTCCTGGGAGGTTCTCGGGAGTGGAGTACTACAGCACAGGACCCCGTCTGTGGGTGCGGCTGTGTCTCTCCCACCCCACGGCGTTCAGGTCCACGCCTACTTTCGCACGCCGCACGGCAGTGAACTCGGGCAGGGAACGTGCTCAGATCTCTGCGACAGGACTCTGATTGACAGCACTGTAAAAACCCTGCACTGGATCAGGCTGCTGTCCCATTGGAGTCTTATTGATAGCGCTCTAAAGAGGAGAATGGGTCAGACTGTGGTGCACTGGGAGTCTGATTGGCAGCACTGTCACACCTGGAGCGGATCAGTCTGCTGCGCACTGGGAGTCTGACAGCACTGTCACACCTGGAGCGGATCAG